GCTCGTCTGGCACAATCCGGCACAATTGAGAAAAGTTAAAAAATCGAAAAATTTTTTCTCACCCCCATCCCTTTTCACCCCTGCTTTTCAACCCCTGCAATTTTCGATTCTTTTCTGGCCCGTTTTCTGTAGTGCTCGACTAGTACAACTCAATAGTGCTTGGAAAAGTTCGATAAGTGCGTAAAAATTATAGTTATGCATTATTTTGTATTTGGGTTTCTACATTTTTTTTCTGCAAAGTAAAAGAAGATATCGAGTTTTTTCCAACGGCACAACATGGCACAAATTATTGCCCGTCTTTTAAAAAAAATTGAGGTTGTTTCGCCAAAAATGCGGGGCTAGCATAATTTCTTTTTTATTTTTTTTAATAACTATTATTGATGATATCGAACTTTCGTTTGCGGCACAAGTCAGCACAAACATAGCACAATACGGCACAATTAAAAAAGTTCCAAATTCGAAAAGTGCGGGGCTGTCAAAAATTTGGTTTTTTATTTTTTTCTCGAGCACGCTTTGAGTTACGGAGTTGCGGTTTGCGGCACAATACGGCACAAACGTAGCACAATGCAGCACAATTGAGAAAAATACAAAATTCGAAAAATGCGGGGCTAACTTCACACACGTCTGAAAAGGAGAAGAACGTGAGAATGGACGTGACCGCCCTGTTAGCGGCGCAAAGCGACGCTCATGGTCACCTTGCCCGCTCGGTGACGAACTTGAAGAAGATGGGCGCAGAAGACATCACGCTCCACGCCGTTGAGACACGCCTCAAGCTCCGTGACCAGACTTGGGCGAAGGTCGAGGCACAGCATGAGGCCATCCGAGCGCTCTACAAAGAGGGTTTCGACTCAAGTGAGTACAACCAGACTCATTTTTTTGACACCATCGAAGACACTTACGTGATGGAACGAAGCGTGCTCAGCGAATACGCGAGACGGCTCCAACCACAGCCAAGTTCCGCTCCGCCGAAGGAGTCCGGTAACGTCTCCTCCGTGTCTGCGCTACCTCGACTCAAGGTGAAGACGTTTTCGGGTGCGTTCGAAGAGTGGCCTACCTTCCGCGACAGCTTCTTGTCGATTGTCGGGAAACACTCGTCCATCTCGAACATTGAACAGTTCCATCATCTGAAGCTCTGTCTTGACGGAGCTGCTGAAAGATTGATACGCCCATTAGCCGTGATTGGGGACAATTACCCGCGCGCGTGGAAAATGTTAAAGGAACGTTACGAGAACAAACGGGAAGTTGCGCGCTCTAATTTCGCCGCGTTCACCAGCACTCCCAAAATGAAAGGCGACACCGCCGAAGAACTTGATCGGATATACAACGCCGTGACCAGTGTCGTGAGCGGGCAGAAGGGTATCGGTCGACCCATCGCTTCACACGGCTGCGACTTGCTGAACCATCTCGTGGCCGAGCTGTTCGACCCGAAAACTCGCCTCGAGTGGGCGTCTTACACGAGCGAATCGAACGACGTTCCAAGTCACGAGACTCTGGTGAAGTTCATTTCGAGACGAGCTCTCACTCTCAAAGTCGCGAAGGCGACAACCGCGAAGTTCTCCGGAGACCCGCCGCGATCCGCGAAGTCCCATCTCGCTAAACGGTCCATCGCCTCATCGCAGTGTGTCTTGTGCAAGGGCAAGCACCATGTCATGATGTGCGACGAATTTAAGGCGAAATCCGCGATCGAACGTAAAACCGTCGCGAAAACGCACAGACTTTGCTTCAACTGCCTCGGTTCGCACCAGTTCGCGAAGTGTCAATCCGCGAAAACGTGCGCGTCTTGTAAGGCTCGGCATCACTCGATGCTCCACGAGGCTTACACCCCGCAGACGGTCTCCGAAGCCAACGCTCTCTCCGCAGTGCGTCAGGACGACGAAACCAAGGCGATTCTCCTCGCGACCGCGAGGGTGAACGTCGCCGACCGCCACGGAATCCCGCATGCGATCAGAGCCCTGATCGACCAAGGGTCAGAGGTCTCTCTGATCTCCGAATCGCTCGTGCAGCGCCTGCGACTGCCCCGATCTCGATCCTCCGTGTCAATAATCGGCATCGGGGGCTCCCGCACCGGGTCCAGCAGAGGACGGGTCACGCTCAGTCTCTCGTCCACCGCAAACGACGCTGAGTTGACCGTCGTTGCCTTCATCCTTCCGCGCCTCTCGCTTTACCAGGGTGCCGTCACTCACGGTGGAGCGAAGTGGCCTCACATTAAAGGACTCAAGCTGGCTGATCCACGGTTCATGGCCAACGATCCAGTCGAGTTGCTTCTTGGAGCGGAAGTATGCTCCGTCATCCTCGAGGAGGGTCTTCGCAAGGGAGGTCCTCAAGAGCCCATCGCTCAACGCACACTGCTGGGCTGGATCCTGTCCGGCGGGTGCGGCGACGCCTCGTCACCAACGCCGCGCACCTCTCTCCAGTGCACAGCTGAGCGCGAGCTGATTTCTCTCGTGCAACGCTTTTGGGAGCAGGAGCAAGAGGCCTCTGCTCCCTACGCTCTCACGCCGGACGAACAGCTGTGCGAGGACATATTCGCTCGCACACACACTCGCACCGAAACTGGCAGGTACATGGTGAAGCTGCCATTCACCTCTCCTCCGCCGACGATCGTTGAGACCCGCAAGCCTACAGAACGACTGCTGCACGCCATGGAGCGAAGGTGTGAGCTCAATTCCCGGTTCGGGGAGCTTTACCGCGCCTTCCTCAAAGAGTACGAGGACGTGCGCCACATGACGCTCGTGGACGAGCCGCCCAAGTCACTCAACCAAGGGCAGTGCTACCTGCCTCATCATGGTGTGCTTCGGGAGTCAAGCACCACCACCAAGCTGCGCGTTGTCTTTAATGGCTCTCAGCGCACTAGGTCCGGTGAGTCGCTGAACTCCCACCTTCTCGTTGGCGCCAACCTGCTGCCGGCCCTCGCGGACGTGTTGATGCGCTGGTGCTGGCACCGATACGCGCTCGTAGCCGACATCGAGAAAATGTACCGCCAAATCCTCGTTGCTCCGGAGGATCGTGACTACCAGCGAATTCTCTGGCGGCACTCTACAGCTGATCCGGTCCGCGAGTTCCGTTTGAATACCGTGACCTATGGCCTCGCTTGCGCACCGTTCCTGGCTATCCGTACTCTGAGGCAACTCGCTGCCGACGAGGAGTCCCGGTTTCACCGCGGTTCCACTATCTTGCGCCGCGACTGCTACGTTGACGACATCGTCACCGGAGCGCATGAAAAGTCCGACGCTATCGCGGTGCAGTCTGAGCTCCACTAGCTATGCATGGCGGGCGGGTTTCCACTTCGCAAATGGGCAGCGAACTGCCCCGAAATTCTCGCGGGAATTCCACTCGAGCACCGCCTAAGCAAGGAACCGCACTTGTGGGAACACGAGATCCACTCCACACTGGGGCTGCGCTGGCATCCGAGCGACGATGCTTTCGCCTTCACAATCCAACCCCGCACTGTCAGCAGCTACACCAAGAGGAGCGTTCTCGCGGAAACGGCGCGACTATTTGATCCGCTCGGATGGTTGTCACCCGTCATCATTCGAGCAAAAATCCTCCTCCAGTCGACCTGGATGCAGCAGCTTGACTGGGACGCGCCGCTCCCGTCGGTGGACATCCTTCACTGGAGACGCCTCTTCGAGGAGCTCCCGCTTCTCGAGGGTCTTCGCGTCAACCGCTGGTTGGGCAGCGGAGCTGAAAACTCACTCATTGAGCTTCACGGCTTTGCCGACGCGTCCGAACGCGGATACGCCGCCGCTGTCTACCTCCGCCTTGGGGACGGCAGCAAGGTCCGTGTGCAACTGCTCGCTGCCAAAAGCAAGGTCGCTCCGATAAAACCAGTCTCGCTGCCAAGACTGGAACTCTGTGCCGCCGCCTTGCTCACGAAATTGGTGGCGCACGCTCAATCTATCCTTAGTTTGTCCACAGCTCCGACTATTCTCTGGTCCGACTCGACAGTTACGCTCCACTGGATACAAGGCCATGCCTCTCGGTGGAAGACCTATGTGGCCAACAGAGTCGCATATGTCCAACAGCGTCTTCCCGAAGCCAAATGGCGTCACGTTCCGGGCATCGAGAATCCCGCAGACTGCGCTTCCCGGGGGATTGCGCCGAGCCATCTCGTCCACCATCCCCTCTGGTGGACAGGCCCTCCTTGGTTGCTCAAAGACCGAGCGAGCTGGCCACAGGAGGGTCTCGAAGTAGCTGACGATGAGATCCCCGAGAGGAGAACCACTGCGCATGTGGCCGTCGCCAAAGTCGAGGACGAACCGGAGCTTCTCCTCCGGTTCTCCTCACTGCACCGGCTTCAACGAGTGACCGCCTGGTGTCTGCGTTGGCTCCGCGCCGCGAAAAAACCCGAGGAGCGCCGCGCGACATAGACTCTAAGCCCCGACGAGCTCGATTCGGCATTAACGCGATGGCTTCGCGTGCTGCAAGCCCTGCACTACCCCGCCGAAGTCGCCGCCGCCACAGACAACCGCGCTCTTCCACGCAATAGCAAGCTCCTTAAGCTAAACCCTTACCTGGCTCCGGAGTGCTCAGGGTCGGCGGACGGTTGAAGCACGCCTTGCTTCCCCACGATGAGAGGCACCTGATGATCGCCTCGCCGCTGTCACACCTTACTCGGCTGTTGGTAGAGGCCTGTCACCGACGCACTCTGCACGGCGGAACTCAACTCACCCTGGGGATGATCCGATTACGGTTTTGGGTTCCACAGGGTCGTTCTGTCGTCAAGCAGTGGCTGCATCGGTGCGTCACTTGCACCCGATGGCGAGCCGCCACTCCGCAACCTCCAATGGGCGATCTACCACGGGAACGCGTGACTCCGGCCCGTCCATTCCTTCGGACCGGCATCGATTATGCCGGCCCGATCTTCGTTCGCACTTCCAAGGGGCGAGGGCACCGAGCAT